AGAGAGAGAGAGACAGAGTACGAGCAGGGGAGGGGCAGAGAGAGAGGGAGACACAGTATACGAAGCAGGCTCCAGGCTCTGAGCTGTCAGCACAGAGCTTGACACAGGGCTCGAACTCACAAACTGCAAGATCATGACCTGAGCTGAAGTCAGATGCTTAACTGACTGAGCCACGTAGGCACCGTCTTAAAAGTAAAACCTTAAAAAAAAAAGATTCTAATTGATACAGATATGAGTTTCAGATTAAATTACTTAAATTTAGCTGAGCTAGAGCTCCTGGATAAAAAAAACCTCATACTCAAATGTGTACAAGGAACTGGCCAAGCAACCCACATAAGTAAAAAAGCCAGTTGCAAGGAAAATAAGGAGAGCTAGAGGTCCTGTTACGTACAATGCATATGCCATCTAAACTGGGGTATCAAAGCATAAGGAACAGGGTTACAATCTACTAATTTTTCATGTGAAGGTGGAAATTTGGATTTGCATATGAAATTTCCTCAGAAAGCATCTAATTCGGATTTAAAACATTGTGTAGAACAAAGAAAACAAATGAGCTGCCAGTTTAAGACTTATGTTGTTTCTTTTCTGTAAATTATAAATGTTAGTAGGCTTCATACTCTTATTTTTAATTTTACAAACTTTTAATTTGAAATTATTTTGGACTTCTAGAAAAGTTACAAAAGTGGACAAAGAATTCCTAAATATTCTTTATCTAGATTTCTCAAATGTTACTATTTAAAACACATTTGGTTTTTTTCTCTGTATAAAAACACAATTGCACAGATACTCACATAATGTTTTTCTGAAGCATTTGGCAGTAAGTTAGTGACATTATGCCTGTTTACCCCTTAATATTTCAGTGTGTGTTATGTAGAAATAAGGGCATTCTCTTACATCATAACACAATTATCAAAATAAAAAAATAACATTGATTCAATATTATTTAATTTGTAAATCTAATTCGAATTTCACCAGTTGTCCAACTAATGAACATTAAAAAAAAAAGAAAAAGAGAAAAGTGGCTTGTTTACTGGTCCTGAATCTAATATAGGATCACATGTTGGGTTTAGTAGTTATGTCTCTTGGGTCTCCTTCATTCTGGAATAGCTCCTCAGTGTTTGTCTTTCATGATTTTAATAGGTTAGATGATGAAGTGATTTTTGGTATTCATGAGTGTATCCTTGATAGAGATCTCTGTGTGTACTAAAAATATGTGAGTAGAGGATGGTGTCAATCATTGAGAATGGAGGACAGTTTTTTAATAGAATATTCCTCCATTGTTCATTTGTTTGTTTTCCGACACTGCTCCCTAGATAGATTCAGGTTATCCATTTGGGGAAGAGAAACCACGGAAGTGATGTTGTGTGCATCTCAGTGCATCGTATCCAGAGGCCAGGCAAGCTATCCTCTCAAGCAGTTTGCCCTGGAGGTGGCTCCTCCCCACAGAAGAACTGTGGGATCAGTGTAGCCATTCCTAGGGGTTGTCCTTACCAGAGAGCCCGCACTCCTGTATTTACATCTGCACCATCAGTCATTGGTTAATGGCTGTCCCCCAGGGGGACGTTAATTTTCAGATACTGAAGTTTTACAGAAGTGAAGAATAGCTTAAGATTTAGTATAAAGTGGTCCATTCAGAACCTTTTTAATTATTGTCCACATGCAAGCACAGAGTTTTGTTTCAAATTAAACAGGAACTAGGTTAGCAGAGATGGTTTGCAGGGCTATATCTCACCAGCCTGAGAAACTAAAGCTTTCTTTGTTTCAGGGTAGACAGAATCCATGCCCTTTGTGTTTTTATTGTTAAGTCTACATGCAATTTTGCAACATGAAACCTGCAACGATCTGTAATTAGTTGAGAATCTTTCTGGTTCATGATAAATCTGTTGCATGCTATCTGTTTTTCAAAGCTCACTGCAGGCGCCTGGATGGCTTAGTTGGTTAAACATTGGACTCTTGATTTTGGTTCAGGTGATGATCTCATGGTTAATGAGAATGAGCCCCATGTCTGGCTGTGGGCTTGTTGTGCCCGAATCGCGAGTCCCAGAGACCTCCAAGGAGCTGGCACCGATGCAAATACAAAAGGGTCTTTATTACAAGCTCTGCAAATACAAAAGGGTCTTTATTACAAGCTCGAGCAGGGGCTCACCAGCCTACCGGTGTCGTGGCAGCAAGGTGAAGCAAAGAACAATAGCGAACAGGGTTTTTAAGGAGTAAGGGATGGGGGTGTTACAGTACATGTAGCATCATCACATAAGCACCAATTACAATTACAGCTTTGACCATTCAGTATCTGTGAGGTGTTCATTACTTTTGGTGGGACCCAATCATGACTTTTGAGAATCCTTTGAAAATGACCAATTATGAGGTGAGTTTAAAGGGCCCACGTGGGGTTCAGGCGAGTGGTGAGAAATTGGCTAGTTTGTATCTGCAGTTCCCAGCCTTGACTCAGACCATAGGAATGTTGTTGGTTTTTTGTTGTTTTTTTTTTTCTTTTTGATTAGCTGAACTGAGGGCGGTCTGAGGATGGCTTTAGCCTTGAACAATCTGAGGCTTTTCTTGGGACTGGGACTGGGGCTATGTGCAGCCCGAGGTTTCTCTTAATGGAGGACTTAATTTTTGGCTCTTCAGGCTGAAGCACAGAGCCTGCTTCAGGTTCTCTCTCTCTCTCTCTCTCTCTCTCTCTCTCTCTCTCTCTCCCTCTCCCTCTCCCTCTCCCTCTCCCTCTCCCTCTCTCCCTCCCTCCCTCCCTCCCTCTCTTTCTGTCCCTCCCTGCCCTCTTTCTCTCAGAATAAATAAGCATTTTTTTTAAACTTCACTGCTATTAGCTATGAAATAAAGCTTTTCTTAACCAAGCTGTAGGCTTTATTAAGATCAAGGCTATATGTTATAGCTTCCCATTGGAAAGATTTATTTTTAAAATAACTGATAATCAGTGAATACATAACAGAACAATTTGCCTTGAAGGTATAAATGCAGAATTTATTTCACTACTTACATATCCTGCACATAGAAGAATAATGTAGGAAATGTTTGTTTGGATTCTTAATTATCTAACTGGTATCTCTAGGAAACTGAGGATCGCAAGTTTGTAAAGGCACAAAAATCTAATTAAAAATGAGCCGCTGTGGGGTGCCTGGGTGGCTCTGCCAGTTGAGCATCATCAGACTTTGGCTCAGGTCATGATCTCACAGTTCATGAGTTCAAGCCTCACTTCAGGCTGGCTGCTGTCAGCTTGACAGCGCAGAGCCCACTTCGGATTCTGTCCTCCTCTCTTTCGGCCCTGCCCCACTTGTACTCTCTCTCAAAAAATAAAACAGTTTTGAAAAATAAAAATGAGATGCTGAAAGGGATTTTATCATGAAGCAGTTTAATTCTTCTTCACTGTAAGCTTAGAAGTGATTCTGTGTTGTGCTGCATAAAAGCTGTTTGCAGACCAGAATCTTAAACTAAATTTGAGCAGTTCAGCATTTAGCCATGTGCTTCAGAAATTGCTTGGTAGAGCCTCTATTTCTACAACATAATAATTTAAGCTTTAACTTTGAGATCCAAATGGTAATTCTGGCACTTGAATACTATAAGGAAACAATTTGTCATGCCTGCATTGTGGAAATGGTGTTCCAAGTGAAATGCACAGCATACAGTTGAAGCAGCACATACCGTTATTGGTATTTCAGGGAGAGCATCTGATATGTTAAATAGAAGCTGTCTTTGTAAGTATCACCATATTTTTCCTAGAGCATTTTTAAACTTGTGATACTGAGGTATGGGAGGGAAAATAATTAGCCTAATTGTTTAAGCCAAATGCATGAATTCCTAGACATGATACTAGCACTTTCCTTTAATAAACTTTATATTTTAGATCCTTTTTAGGTTTACAGAAAAATTGAGAAGATAGTTCAGAAAGTTCCCATATACTTTGTAATGAGTTTCCCATATTAACATCTTACATTAGTGTGGTATTTGTTAAATTAATGAACCAACCTTGATGCATTATTGTGAACTGAAGTCCAGAATTTACTCTGATTTCCTTAGTTTTTACCTAATGTCCTTTTTTTTTTCCAGGATCCTACCCAAGATACCACATTATATTTAATTGTCATGTCTCCTTAAGCTCCTCTTGGCTGTGACAGTTTCTCAAGTTTTCCCTGGTTTTGATGACCTTGACAGTTTTTAGGAGTCACATATTGATCAGATGTTTAATAGGATGTTCTTATATTGGAATTTGATATCTTTCTCAAGGTTAGACTTCGGTTACAGGTTTTTTGGGAGGAAGACCACAGAAGTAAAGTGCCACTTTCATCTCATTAAATTAAGGATTATTACTGTTGAGTTGACTTTGGTCTCCTGGCTGAGGTTTTGTTTGTTAGGTTTCTCCAGATAAAGTTACTCCTCACATCCCCCTTCCATACTATAGTCTTTGGAAGGAAGGCCCCATGCACAACCCCCATTTAAGTAAGATTTATTTTGTTAACTTTCCAAAATGGGTCAAGATGCTTATTTTGAATGAAGCAGATAAAAATGTTGAGTAAGGTCATACCCATAGATTTACCAGAAATTAAATACAAGTATTAAGGTGTGCACATGATTTGTCTATAGTTAGCGGGTTGGGTTAATTGTTACAGTATAGCTGTGAAGTGCTATATTGTCCTTTCCCCCTGCTGAAAGCAATGGTTTCCTACAATCTCTGTCTAGCTCAATTCTATAGTAAGACAGGGACGCTTGGTCTCAAACATTTCTCTCTGTATTATTATGAAAACTGTTATATCTGCTTAATTGATGTGTCAACATAATTAGTTATCTCTCTTTTTTTTAAGGTTGTTTTCTGCCTTAATGTCAATCGTTATGATGGAAGTTATCAAGAATTTCATGAGAAATCCATTTCAAATTCTAATGAAGAAGAAAGAATTGACCCTTGAAAGGACCAGTATTTTGTACTATTTTTGAAAGAGGGTAATGTTTTTCTAGTTGATATACATAAAATGATGGCCAGAACTTTTTTTACCTTCTTACTTAAGCTCTGTACTAAAACTGCAGAAACTAATAATCATGTCTTAGTATGTATAAATAAAGCAGCAGAGTAAACACAAAAAGAAAAACAACTGTACCAGATAGTAGAAAACCTGAGTTGAACCTCTTTCTTAAGCCCAGAGTACTTTATTCTAAGATTTGGTACAATAATATCTGTATTTAGGTAGAATTAATAGAAAGAATTTCTTTTTTTAAAAATATTTTTTTACATTTTTTAATGTCTTATTTATTTCTGAGAGAGAGAGAGAGACAGCTTGAGCAGGGGAGGGTCTGAGAAAGAGGGAGATACAGAATCTGAAACAGGCTCCAGGCTCTGAAGCTAGCTGTCAGCACAGAGCCCGATGGAGGGCTCAAACCCATGGACCATGAGATCATGACCTGAGCCAAAGTCAGATGCTCAACCGACTGAGCCACCCAGGCACTCCAATAGAATGAATTTCTAACACGTCCCTTGCAATAGCAAGGATGAGAGTAATCAAATGGCTATTTGCTCTGACTCTGAAGGGAATTAACATTTTCCTCTCTGAAATACTGGGGGGAAGAAAATTGTATGCTCTTTGTGGCATACGAGAGACCAACTGGTACACAGGCTGTTCTTTTTCAGAACACAAGACAAAGGGAAGGCTGGCTTCTGAGAAAATGCACGCCAGGAATTTCAGTTTCTGATGTCGTAAGAGTAGTCCTTCCCTATTATTGCCAATTAAGACACAGTTAATATCTAATTATTTCCTTCATGAACGGATGCAGGATCTAGTTACAATGTAGCTGTAAAGTGCTGCCTTGTCTTTACCCCCTGCTCAAAATAAAACTGTTACCTTTCTAGCTCTGTCTGCCATGGGACTTAGCAGTCAGGGATGCCTGGTCTCAGACATGTCTACCAAGTTAAACACTGACTTGAGGAATGACTCTTGAGGATTAAACTTATTAATATTTTGCAGGTGGCGACGGAAAGAAAGAGACATCATCAGGAAGGAATTCAGGTACGGGACAAACCACATTTTGATTACTACCAACTTACTGGTATTTCGATTCCTTATTTAATTATATTTATCTACCAAACATTGGTTTTGAGGAGAAGATTTTTAGCAGTCTTTTTTAGCTCAAGCTATGTGGGAGAATAAAAACCACACTCCACAGTGAGCTGTATCATTTCTAGGCAATTCATTACTGTTTTGTGGCCTGAAAGAGTATGCAGCAGCTGCTTTTAGAATCAGAATTTGAGGGGCGCCTGGGTGGCTTAGTCGGTTGAGCGTCCGACTTTCGCTTAGGTCATGATCTCGCGGTTCGTGGGTTCGAGGCCCGCGTCGGGCTCTGTGCTGACTGCCAGCTCAGAGCCTGGAGCCTGTTTCAGTCTGTGACTCCCTTTCTCTCTGACCCTCCCCTGCTCACTCTCTCTCTCTCTCTCCTAGAAATAAATAAAAATAAAAAAAAAAAAAAAAAAAGAATCAGAATTTGAATGTATACTATCATGATCTCAGGCTCATGGTTTTTATGTACCACTAGTGTCTATGGTTATAAACTACAAACTGTCCACTACTTGTGAAAACTGTATTCTAAGATGAATATTTGTCATGTTCATTGAGTATTTGCTTGTATTCTGGTGAAATAAATTTATGTATTGTTGTTCAAGTGTGATTCTGTTAGCCAGACAATCTTTAAAATCAGATATATGAATGAGGACAATAATCCTATCACCTAGTAACATGATAAGATGTATTTAAATTCTACTTGCAGAGATTCATGGTTGATCAGAACACAGTAGGAAAACAAATGTGAAATGTAGCCCAGACTTCGGATTTTGTACAATTGATATTCAAAGGAAAAAATCAATCATGCTGTTAGATCTGGTTGCCTTAGCTTGCACTTGAGATTTTTTAAGTCATGTTATTCATACCTTGTGCTCTCTTGGTGATTTCTCTATAATTGGGATTTTGTTAGTATTTTCTGGTATCAATTTACATTGACCCTGGCTTAAGTATAGTGGTTTTATTACTAAATAAATTATGTCTTACTATTAATATAAAAGTAACTTTAAAAATAATATAGAGGCACCATGTCCAGCAGCAAAGGGGGATGGGAAGAAGTCCCATGAGTCCCTTATATATAAGGCATTCAAGCAGAAACAGAAAGAAGAGCAGAAGAAGCTCCAGGAGCTGAAAAGCAAAGACCAGGCCACAGGGAAGGGCCCGCTGGCCACAGGTAGAATTGAGAAATCTGGCAAAAAGAAAACTGTTCCTTGTGCCTGAGGCAATGGTGATCCTTAATTCCATTCCTGTTTAAACATCTGGATTCCCTGTGATAGCACTGTTGACACCTATAGCTAGAATGTTGTCTTAGATCCTATTGTACATTTAAGAATAAACTTTTGTTTAAAAAAAAATCAATCAGTAAAAAAAAGAAAAAAATGTAATACTCAACAAGAATAGATGATGAGATGGTGTTCAGGAGTGGCATTGGCCTAATTTAGGACATGGTTTCATGAGTGAAACAACATGTAGTGTCAATAAAGAGTGAGTCATTATTTCCATATTTGTTTTTTTCTTGTTCTGGTTATCTGATATTTTAAATTGCTCCAGCCACAACATTTTTGATTGGCATATTATCTGTTTTGGTATAGAGCTGTGGTGGTAAATATATCTCAGCCATTTGTGTTACAGTGAACTGAGCAGAAAGCAGTAATAAATACAGGTTATCATGACAGACCTTTGGAGCTTCCTTCCACACACACTATAAAAAGTTTTAAGTCCTAGACCAAGTCTGTCCATAGAACTTTGCAGTAATGAAAATATCCCATATCTGTGCCACCCAACACAGAAGTGAGAGGCCACCATGTAGCTGTTGAAGTGTGGTTAACTGATTAACTCTATTTTCTATTTAATTTTAATTTCAATATCCACATGTAGGTAGATGCTATTGTATTAGATGCTAAATAATAGGTAACATTCCTATAGTTCCAAAAGTGTGTCAAGATGAATGACATAATTGTTCTTTTTGTTTGGTCTGTGGTGTTTACATCTGTCCCAGGCCAACAACTGCTCTTGGCTAGACCTCTTGGGTATTAGCTTTAATTTCACTACCTGTCATGTGCTTTATAAATAATAATGCTTAAGATGCCTGAAAGAAGCTGATTTTGCAGCCAAAGGAATTCTTTCCACTAACTACAAAAGAAATCCTTTTTTTTTTTGCACAGCAAAGGAAACAACCCACAAAACTAATAGGCAACCAACAGAATGGGAAAAGATAGTTGCAAATGACATATCAGATAAAGGGTTAATATCCAGACTCTATAAGGAACGCACCAAACTTCACACCCGAAAAACAAACAACCCAGTGAAGAAATGGGCAAAAGATATGAACAGACACTTCTCCAAATAGGACATCCAGATGGCCAACAGACACATGAAACGATGCTCAGCATCCCTCCTCATCAGGGAAATACAAATCAAAACCACACTGAGATACCACCTCACGCCAGTCAGAGTGGCTAAAATGAGCAAATCAGAGAACTCTAGATGCTGGCGAGGATGTGGAGAAACGGGCACCCTCCTACACTGTTGGTGGGAATGTAAACTGGTGCAGCCCCTCTGGAAAACAGTGTGGAGGTTCCTCAGGAAACTAACAATAGAACTCCCCTATGACCCAGCAATAGCACTGCTAGGAATTTACCCAAGGGATACAGAAATGCTGATGCATAGGAGCACATGTAGCCCAATGTTCATAGCAGCACTCTCCACAATAGCTAAAACATGGAAAGAGCCTAAGTGTCCATCAACAGACGAATGGACAAGAAGATGTGGTTTATCTATACATGTAATACTACATGGCAATGTGAAACAATGAAATCTGGCCATGTGTAGCAACATGGATGGACCTTGAGGGTGTTATGCTGAGCGAAATAAGTCAGGGAGAGAAGGACAAATACCATATGTTTGCACGTATAGGAGGATTAGGAGGAACTTGACGGAGGAACAAGGGGGAGTAGAAGGGGGGAAATGGTGGGGGAAAGGGAGAGAGGCAAACCATGAGAGAGTCTTGAATGCTGACAAAAACTGAGTACTGATGGATGTGGGGGGTAGGAGGGATGGGCATGGAAGAGGACACTTGTGGGGATGAGCACTGGGTGTTATGTGGAAACTAATTTGACAATAAACTATTTGTTAAAAAAAAAAAAAGAAAGAAATCCTTTTTTTTTTCTCTAGATATTGTAATTGGCATCTAGTTAGAATCACTGTATATATAATCTTGGCAAAAAAACAGCCACTGATGGTTAACAAGTAGCTCATATTGGTAGTAGTTCATGTCATATTTGATAAGCAATATTCTAATTAATAATTTTTGTTTGTTCAGAATTGGCAGTGGAGGTCGATTTGGGAGGAAAGCTGTGGCCATAAACATTAAAGAAGACAAGTAGATTCTTTGTGACAATGAGACTTTCTACAATACCACTGTGGAGGAAATGCCAGTGAACGTGACTGACCTTATTTAATTCCTGGGATGAGAGAGTTTTGAATGCAATGCTTGCTGTTGTGGAATAAGTGATGATAACATGCATTGATTTCCTTTCTTTGGGAATATTTGAAGCTTGTCTCAATGCTCATAACGGATCAAAAATACAGATTTTGATGGTAACACTACTCTTACTCATGGGCCCATATGATGAGGGTCATTGGTTTTATCTGCTTTAGAATTAGAATATTGGAGTCGGATATGAAAAATGAGGTTGTAAAAATTATTCTTAGAAATTTATTTCCTAGTTCTGTAAAAATGGTTATATTGAGTGTTCTCTATTATTTAATACTATATTGTGGACTGTGCTCTGTAAAAGCACCCAATTATAGGGGCACTTGGTTGGCTCAGTCAGTGGAGCGTGTGACTCTTGATCTTGGGGTTGTAAGTTCAAGCCCTAGGTTGGATGTAGAGATTACTTAGAAATAAAATCTTTTTTCTAAAAAAAACAGCCATTTATATTAAACTAGTGTATCTGCTTTTATTGTGTCAGTCATTAGACTGAATTAAACAAACTCGAAAATTGTTTTTTTAAAGGAAGAATTTGATTTCATTTTGTATGGTATTGTGTTTTTACTTTGTAAAATAGTTTATTAGTGGTAAGCGTGAATTGGAGCCTTTTACTAATAAGTACCAGTAACAACCATATACTCAGGTTTATTTTTTTTATTTTTTTTATTTTTTTAAATATTTTTTATTTATTTCTAGGAGAGAGAGAGAGAGACAGCATGAGCAGGGGAGGGTCAGAGAGAGAGGGAGTCACAGACTGAAACAGGCTCCAGGCTCTGAGCTGGCAGTCAGCACAGAGCCCGACGCGGGGCTCGAACCCACGAACCGCGAGATCATGACCCAAGCAAAAGTCGGACGCTTAACCGACTACGCCACCCAGGCGCCCCCATATACTCAGGTTTAAATCCCCCCAAAAAATGCCATATTGTATATTGAATACTCAATAAATTATAATAAAGAATATTTTTCTTTAAAGTTGTTTGGTCCTTATTCCTTAAAGAATTATGCTTTTTGCCTTAATTCCATATTTTCCAAAATAAGATAAAACAGCACACTGTGAGAAATATTTTATTCTAGTTACAGAATTATAAACAAAGAATACACCCACTGTGGCATTTCATTAAAAGTTTTAATGGCTCCAAATTATCTGCTGTTTGGCTGTAGCACAAAGACTAGGCACTTGGTCAACTGCAGATGTTCATCAGGAACATTGGCTAAGCACTCTGTGCTTCTTTGACAAAAAAAAAAAAAAAAGAAGTATTAGAATGCAAGATTTCTCCTTCTTCTGATGTGGCAAACATTTCCTGGTATATGCAAAGTAGCTATTTAACAGCAAGGTTTTCTATGTTAATAAACTAATCAGTAAAGCTCTTTTTCGATAACAATAACATGGAGTCATAGGCCCTGTTAGGGAAGGATTGACACCAAGTGTGATCCTTGGTTTTTCTTAAAAATTACTTATTGAGCAATCTTTATGTTGACCACAGCCCATAATTTATCAGAAGAACCACTGATAGGCAGCAAATATTCCACCAGTTGTTTTGATTGGTATCACACAGAAAAGAGTATGGTGGTGAATTTCTAGGTGAAAGCAGCCCCCATCCTTTCTCAGTCCTAGTATTGATGCTTGCCACTTTCGCAGAACCGCTGCTGTGACAATAAGGCAAATGC